CGAAAGTACCAGCACCTGTTTGTGAATATAGTCTAAGCATTCCACCTTCTTCATGGTATTGACAGCTATAATCAAGCTTTATACTGCCAAACCAGTTAGCCTTCAAGATGCCGTTAATTCCTTCCTCTCGACTCTAATCTCTTTACTTTTGTCGAAGGGGTTAGTGCGGACAGATAGTATAGTAGATATGAATATAATTACACTCCTTGATTTTAAAGTGGATAGTCCAGACCTCTTTGTTCATCACTCCTCGCGACCAAGACAGGCTTCTTCAAGAGTCCTCTCTCAGCTTTTGGTTTGGTTGTTGGTTCTCAACAAGAAGTCCGATGCTATTTTTGAGTTTTAAAAAAAAGTCAAAGGGCCTTTGTGGTCTGTGCTTTCGTTGATCGAGCCGCGTCTGTCCACCGTCTTTGTGCCTCCTCCAAGTCTTTCATTCACCCGCACTGCCCCACTTTCATAGCCCACATGTTCACAAGTCCACTTGACATATATTTAATTAACATGGACTCTATGAGCTCTGTAGATCAGAGCTGAATTTTTGAAAGATATTAAAGGCCTGTCAAGGAGACACCAGAAAAAAAAAAAAAAAAAAAAAAAAGAACTTTCTTGCAAAAAGTTTTTTGGTCTAGTTGGAATCCGCTATCTGTATCATATTGTATCACGAATGGCCATAGCATTCTCAACGCTACTCAAGGACATTCGCATCCCCAAAAAAGGCTACTTGCTATGCCTTCAGGCGAAGGGCGTAGACGAACAGCATCCTTGGATGAAAATATGAGCAAAGGATTAGGCAAGACAAGTAAGCATAATAAATTCTTCAAGCCAAACGAGCTGCAGACATCAAACGGAACACATCTGCTATAACGGTCAAATATTAAGGGACTGAATTTGCTTGTTCAACACAACTTGCACAGCCGTTTTTTTACAAGCGGGCTATAGTCCACGCCCGTTGTGATATATCTGACATAAAAGCCTCTCGAAAGCACTCTCCCGCCGCCTTTGCTACGGCAACTGCAGGTACTGAGGGCTGGAAGAAGAGAGTGAGGGGAAGTAACCGTTATGCTCTCTAAGCAGAATAGTAACGGATGATGGGCTTTTAAAAGAGGTCGTGCCGCTTTGTGGCTAATGCGAGTATAACGATCTTACAAAAAAAAAAAAAAAAAAAAAAAAATTTGGTTAGGATATAAAGTTAGCCAACCAGTAAAAATTGCTCTCGGTTGTGACGCTACTAGAGCGGATTTACGAAGATCTTAATCGTTCATCAATTCCATCAATTCTTTGCAGGCATCAAACAAACCCCAACTCTCAAGATGGCACAACAGCAAAGGATTGAACTGCAGGATTTGGATCTGAATCAACTCGTGGAAGTCAAGAAACAATTGGAAGATGTAAGGGTGGAGGGCAATGCATTTTATTACTGCAGCATTTAACCTTTAAGCAAAGCAAAGGTTTTTCTTTTCATCTTTATTTTTATGGAGCGCTTGCAACCTTTTCGGAATAGAGGCTTCATCATATTGATTAAAGGAAAAAGAACAAAGGAGAAAACTTGAACTTAAACCGCTCCCTGGACTCGCATCTCTTCGGATGCTTCTGTCCTTCTTTTTTTTTTTTTCCTTTCAACTTCACCTCAGGAACTTTCTCACTTGACAAGCTCCTTTGGACAATTGAAGCAAGCTCAGAATAGGTTTGCGGATTGTATTGACAGCTGCAAGTCTATCAACGATGCCAATAAAGACAAGGCGATCCTTGTTCCTCTCACAAGTTCGCTCTATGTTCCTGGAAAGCTTGCTAACGTCGAGAAGGTTATTGTGGACATTGGAACTGGATATTATGTTGAGAAGGTATAAAAAAAAAAAAAGGGAAATAAAGAAAGAATCTCTTTCTTCCCCTAATCTCAATCCTTTCTTCGAAACTATAATGTATACTTTATATTGATGGTCATTATTCTGACGCTCTTTTTTTTTTTTTTTTTTTTTTTTTTTTTTTTTTTTTTTTCCTTTTTCTTTTTCTCGATAGTCCACTGAGGATGCGATCAAGTTCTATACAACCAAAGTGGATTTCGTAAAAGAGAACTTGGATAAGATTCAGACGACAGTTTCCCAAAAGCAAGGAAACTTGCGTTGTAAGTGAGATCTTGTGAGAAATGGACAGAGGAGAGAAACACAGTGCTTCCTTTTATTTTATATTCTGATCGATCTTTTTTTTTTTTTTTTTTTAGCACTCGTGGATGTCATGCAGTATAAGCTACAGTTGCAGCAACAGGAACAAAAGGCAGCAGCAACAACAGCAGTCAAGGCATAGGATGTAGAAAATAATAGTTATAATAATAAAAAGGGATTTTCAATCACGACATTATCGTTTTTTTTTTTTTTTTTTTTTTTAGTCAACAACGCGTGTTAGGCAAATAAGGTTTAGTTTACAGCATTCATTCCCCTTAAGTATAATCGCAACTTTTTTTTATTTTTTTAGAAACAGTCCCTAATAAAAAATAATCAAAGTG